CAAGAATGTGTGTCAGAAAAGCCAGAAGTTTCCTCAATATACTTTAACAGTACTACCTCCAGTTTATGAGCTTCGGCTATGGCATGATGAGCTGACTCCGCGTATAGAAGGGCACTCTCCCAAATTTAATCATCTTGGGGGCACCATCACAGTGTAGGATAAAATGAGCCATTTTGTTCATCACGACTGCAGCTTTTGCCAAAATGGAGGTTATGGGATAACAACTTAAAGGCTAACTCATTAACACTCAGAGATGAATGAGGTAATGTGCCAGCAGACCAAACTGGTGCTCAAATATTTTTGTCTGGAGACCTGTATCTCTTTCCCATGTTGTGATACATTAACAGGGATGTCTTTATCTACTGTCAATGCCCGTAGACATTTGAATAACATAGACACAATGCCTGTGGGGCACTCAAGCTCATGCACTATCAATTTCTCAAACTCTGAAGCGCCATCAAAAGCTTGGAGCAAAATTCTGATGGTGCCATAAAGTGCCTAGGTTATAGGAATTCAAATGATGGCATCCGTGAAGTCCCCTGCTTTTTTTTTCTCATAGGTGTTTACTAGTGAGTGCTATGCCATCCCTAACTATTTGATGGGGACAGTGGAGTAAATTAGTCCTCCAGATTGTGAGGGCTGTGGATTTATGCCTAGCTGAAAGCATTCCTGTCCTCACAATGTCGAAGAGGGTGACCTTTCTGACGTTAATTTGTTTCTCCATCTGTGCCATGCATTTCGGCAGGATGTGAGGAACAGGCCTGATGATACCCAAATGTGTTTCCCCCTTTTGTATTTCTGGAGACTTGCTCTGGGTCTCCCTCTGGTCTTTGTTCAAATTCTCTGTTTCAGCATCTGCTAATATCCTAGCCCCTCTACTGATCTACATACAATTAATTATGCTTTCTTTTGCCAGTGTCAGTGTAAAATTGGATGGTTTGAAAGAAAAAGAAATTTTGAGACATATAGGCATTTTGCTAACCTGAATAATAGCATTTAAAAAATTGATCTATGCAGTTAGTTTTCCTATTTTGTAAGATGACTTTTTTTAAAGTTGACCCTGAGGCTGTTGGAGACTGAAGAAGAAAGACCTATTCCCAACAGTCTCCCAAGATCTCTTTACCTGTTTTAATTTAATTCAAATTTAGTAGAGCTTGAACAGAGTAAGACTTTGTATGCATTGATACAAATTCTAATTTTATGTAATTACTTTTGAAACCTGATATTTTCTCGTAAACTCCTTTGCAAAGAACCTTCAAGATCAACGTTTTTATTAAAAACCAATGCTAAATATCACGCATGCATTATTCATTTATTCTCACACAACTGCTGAAATGGGTACTGCATCATTTTCCCATTTTATATAGGAAGTCACTGAAGCTCAGAGAATTCAACTGATTTTCCTAAGGTCACACAGCCAAGATATTGTAAAGCTTGGCTTTGAACTGCATTCTATTTAGTTCTGACTCCAGTGGCCCTTGCAGATACATGTCTAAAGACTTTGTTTTTGCAAATGTCTTGAATTCTAGGCTGAAACTGAGAGGCCTTGCTTTCCTCTTCTGTCTTGTATATTTTTTGATGCCATGGTCACTTCAGGCCAGCCCTAAGGCATGCTGAAAGGGGAAGAGGAAGACACTTTGGAGCAGGAGAGGTCTCTTGGCACCTTGTTCCCTGTGAGGAGCCTCCTTTTGTACTCAGCTTGGAAAACCAAGCCTGAAGACAAGTGTTCAAATCTCAAGAACCTGTTTCTGTGTCTCTTTTGGTGTTGAAACCTGGTTACTTGCCCCCCCCCCCCCGCCCCCATCTGCTTCCTGTCTGGGCACACTGGCCTTCCTAACTCTACTTCTGTCCTGTATTCTTCTGGTGGCTTGAGAGGGTTGAAAGCAAGCAAGACAGTGTCAGTTTTGCTGGCAGAATAGCAGCATATGATTGCTCTTAAGTTTAGCCCTGTATCTTTGAGCAGGAGGCAATGACAAACGGTTTATTCTAAGGCCTTTGATTTCCTTCATAATTGTAAGCATCTAGGCTGACTCATCTCTCAAAGGCTTTTCTCTCTGTCTCTCTCTTTTTTGGCTGGTGTTGTTTTGAGATTTTCTTATTTGTTCTTACCTTATTTGGGGGGGTGGGGAGAGGGATAGATTTTCATGTTGGTTTCTGGGTAAAAGAACCAGCTATACTCTTCAGATGACCAGATCTGGTAAGCCTTGGCAAGAAGAAATAGCCGCAACTTCAAAGCAGGTACAAATATGCCTGAATTGGGGAAAGGGAGAGGGGGAGTAGCCTCAAAAAAAATTAAGCAGAGCTAGGCTGTATGTGTCAGGATGAGACCCTTGACTAATAGGTCTGGACCAGCTATTGTGAATGGGGGATTGCTAGGGACTTAGTCTGGGACTGAGGTGGGTGCTGTGCATATGTCTTTGGTTAAAATGATCATCTTGTGGACAAAGTTTGGTGGTTGGGCTTAGGCATTCAGTTTGGGTCCAGGGAATGGTGCTTTGGAGTTGAAGGAGATTTAAAAAATCCATGCTAAGGATTTTTCCTCCTAGCTCAGTTCAAAAGCCATAGAAAGACTCCTCGCCTTTTCTCATACTGCACTTCAGTTATCTGGTAAGAACTTATTTTTGATAAGCGTGACTTTGGCTATTAAGGAAAGTGGGCAAAAGATAATTTTGGAAACAAAACAAGGGTGGGATTTTGGTGGGTTTGTGGGTTTGTTTGTGTGCTTGTTCTGGACAGAGCTCATTTTTATAGATTGTTGAATGATGAACGCCTACCTGCTTTTCCTCTGTCAAAGCCACATTACCTGATCTTTGGGATTTAAGCCGCCTACTCAACTATAATATATAGAATATTACCGTAAAACTCCATGGCAAAGGGGAGCTCCAAGAAATGGCATGTGACCCCTTCCCTTATTGTCAAAAGGTTTAGTTCCCTATGTCCCAAATTATCTTCTCTATCAAGAGCCGGAATCCACACACTCATCCAAACTATAACTTTTGGAGCTGTCCTAAATTCTATCCTTCTTATTACAATTCCCCCAAGCTCTGTCAATTCTACCCATAGAATCCTACCCCAGCCCCAGCCCCAGTGACACTGGCTTGTATCAGCATCTCTTTGCCTCTTGGCTGATCTACCTACTTCAGACTCTCTACTCAGACCAGGCTTTTCACTGCTCCCTGTGATTTTTCCAACTGCAGCTCTGACTCTGTCCCTCTGCACTTAAAACCCTGCAGTAGTTCCCTACTGCCTTCAGGAGAAAGTCCAGTTCCATAATATGGCTTACAGGGCCATTCCTCAGTTCATGCCTGCTTATGCAGATTTATCTCCTAACATCCCCTTTCTACAGCTTTAAGAATATGACAACCTCTCTCCCATCTCTTTGCCTTTGCACAAGATATTCTCTTTCTGGACGCCCCCCCCCCCCCATCTCCAGGCAGACTTAGATGTTTCCTCCTTTCTGCTCTCACAGTACTTTGTTTATATCTTGGCCATTGACTTCTCACAAGGTTTTGTAAATTGTTACCAACCTGTGTATCTCCTTCACTGCACTGTTAAATCTTTTATGAAAGGAGTAGTTTCATTTGCCCGTAGTTGAATCTTTAGTGCCTGGCACAAAGTGAGTAATTAATACAGATTTTTTAAAATAAATGAATGAATGAAAGAACAAATGAGGCCAGGATGTGCGGGGAAGAATGCTGTGTGGGGTCCAGAGAGATCCCCACTGGGGGATCCTATGCAGCCTGCGAGCAGCAGTATGGGATACTGGGCGCCATGGAGAAGGGACATGGAAAACAGGTTTGCCAGAACACTAAGACAAACTTCACTCTGATCACCAGTTCTGTGTTGGGAGGAGACTCACTAGAAATGGCCAGGAAACGATGTTTGTTTCTTTTGATACAAACTGATGGTGTTTTCATGAAAAACATAATATAATCAAGTCTCACAATTTTTAGTAAATAGAGAAAAAGCAAAGGCAAACAAAATCCTACCACTTAATAAAGATGCTGTTCATATTGGGGTGCATTTCTTTCAGTCTTTTATTTTTATGCAGATTTTCCTTCACATGGTTGTAATCATAATTAACACAATCCTATATTTTGTATTTGCTGTTTAAAAGCTCTTTGTAAATATCACTTTAATGATTTCATAATTTTCCAGACTGTGGTCCTTCCATAATTTATATAACTAGTCTCATTACTAGGCTAGCTTTTTTCCCCTAAATTTTTTCCTGTTATGGCTCATGTACATATGTTTTTGCCTGTCCGAAGGTAGATTTCATTAGGACAGATTCCTAGAAGGGGAATTACTAGGTCAGAGGGCCTGGGGATGATTTTTGGCTCCATACTTATGTGCCCCGTTTGCCTTCTGGAAGAGTTGTACACATTTTCAGTGCTCCTAACCTAAATGAATGTGCCCATTTCATCCAGCCTGGACAGCACAGAGTATCACCATTAAATGAACTCTATCAATGTTCTAATTAATTGAGGGAAAATATTACCTTATACCTGTCTCAATGTACATTTTACAATTGTGAATAAGGTTGGTTGGTTTTCTTTTTAATCTCTTTTTTCCTTCTTTTTTCTTTCTTTTTTCCTTACTTTCTTTTTCTTTCTGTCTTTCTTTCTTTTCTCCTCCTCCTCCTCCTCCTCCTCCTCCTCCTCCTCCTTTTTCTTCTTCTTCTGCCTAATTAGGTTTTCTCTTTTCTGGACTACCGGTTCAGGGATGATTTTTTTTTTTTAAGTTGGTTTTTTTTTTTTCTTCAAATAAGCAACCAGAGGCAGCTATGCTTCAGGGTGAAGCCGCCTCCCAGTTTTCCCTCCCCCTTTACCACCCTCCCCCCCATAGCTCCTTCCACCAGGTCCAGTGACAATTGGATGATGCAGCCTTGATATCATACGATTCCAGAATGGGTGGCTGCATTCCTTTTCTGAAGGCAGCAAGGACACTGTGCCCCAGAATCATGCCCCCTTTGCTGTTGTTGTCCGCCTTCCTTTTTTTAGTGAACGTCCTGGGAGGAGCCCCAGGAAACAATCCGGACCGCAGGACGAAAATGATATCAATACACAGTCTGTCGGAGCTGGAGCGTCTGAAGCTGCAAGAGACTGCTTACCACGAACTCGTGGCCAGACATTTCCTCTCTGAATTCAAACCTGACCGAGGTGAGCCGGCCCCGGAGCGTGGTGTCCCCGCCTTCGAGCGAGCGGACCCCCGGGCAGGACGGGCCGAGTCTGGGGTCCAGGAGGGTGGGAGGGGCTCCCGCCTGGTCTCGGCCCCGTTCGGTTCCCCTGGAGCCTGGACCACCGAGGAAGCAGGAGTTGAAGGGTTTTGGTTGAATTGTGGAAGAGGTCAAGATTAGTTGAGTTGGGTCGAAGCCTGGGGGCTTGAGGGGGCGGTCAGACAGGCGGAAGGCAGGGACAGACAGGTGGACAGAGGGCAGGTGAAAAGACTGACGCACCAGGTGCGGTGCGAGGAGTCAGAGCGAGGAGGAGGTGCAGAGGGACCCTTTGAGAAGGGACCAGGACGCACAGAGACGGCGTGCTCGAGAGACGGCGAGTCCGGGGAGATAGCGAGACAGCGAGAGAGACACGCGCCAATCCGGGCACAGAGCGGGAGGGCGGTGCGGGCGCGGGAGCGTCGGCGGGAGGTGCGCTGCGATCACTGCCCCCCCCCCCCCCCCCCACTCAGCCGGCTGCGGGTGAGCGAGCGGGACGAAGCCCTGGATGGGGCCCGAGCGTGCAGGGGGCTGGGCGGCCCCGGGGAGGCGGGAAGGGGCGCACGGGCCGAGGGGCGCCCCCGCGGCGGAGAAAAGTGCGAGGGGTGGGGGGCGCGCCGGGCGCGCGCGGCGGCCGTAACCTGGGGACGCCACGCGAGGGACGAGGAGACCCCGCTGCGGGGGTCTGAGAGCGGGGACGGCGCGTGTCGCCGCTGCCAGGGCTGCGGTGCGGGGAGCCGACGGCAGCCCGGGCGCGAGCGCGCCCACAGGAACTTGACGACCCCTACTTGCCGCCGGGACGCAGGCGGAGCCCCTCCCCTAGCCTGTTGCATGGTCGCGGCGCCCCAGAGTCCGCAATGTGTGTCTGAAGCCCTGTGTGGAGCTGCTGCTGGTGCGTGACACGGGGCGCGCTGCGCACGAGGCGCCTCCGATCCTCTGATTCGGTGAAATTCTTGGAGTCTCAGGGGTGGTAGATGGGCTTGGTCCCATTGTCAAACGGGGAAACTGAGGCTGAGAGAAAGCAAAACACTTTCAGCGGGCAGGTCGGAGCTGTTTGCTCCGCCCCCTCCCCCGCAGATCAATACATTGCGATGTTTTCATCATTTATCAAATCCTATTTGTGTGAGTGTGCGTGTCTTTTCTTTTTCTCTTCCCATAGCTCTACCTATTGACCGTCCAAACACCTTGGAGAAGTGGTTTCTGATTCTGAGAGGACAGCAGAGGGGTGAGGGGCTCTCATACTTAGGAAATAAATGGGGCTTTCGGGCGCCCCCCCCCGCCATTGTGTCCCTGGCTACTGGAGACTCGGCGGTGCCCATTGCTTCTGGGGGTACTGAACCCCCCCCCCCCCAACCCCACAGGGCATGTTTCAGGAAATGGCGCACTCGCTGCAGACGCGGGGCGGTCCCAGCAGATTTCCCTAAGCCTTCCCCGTGGATCCACCCCAGACAGTCGCCCAGAAGAAACTGTCCTCATTGCTTCAAGGCTGTCACCCCCCTGGCAGGACCTAAGGCAGGGATCCCGAGCTCCGTCGGGGTAGTGGAACCGAGTGCTTCCGCCAAACCACTGCAGGGTCTTTTTGGCTCCCTCCCCAGGGAGGGGCGCTGCGGGTCTGGAGGGGTGGGGTTGGCTGCAGGCGGTTGCTTAGAGGAGCGCTACAGCCCCTGCACTTCCTCCTGATTTAAGCGCTGTGGAGCGTTGACGTGTCTCATTCTTTCTCTCCCTGGCTCCCCAGTCGTATCGCTCAAGACGTTTGGCATTCGCCTGGAAGAGGTCCTGGTGAATGAGCTTACCCGCCGCAAGCATCTTGAACTAACAGCCGCGATGCAGATTGAAGAATCCACTGGTCAGGCCTCGGGACGTCGTCGGGGAAACGTGGTGCAAAGGATGTTTGGCCGCATCAGGCGCTTTTTCAGTCGCAGACGGGATGAGCCCACCTTGCCCCGGGAGTTTACTCGCCGTGGGCGTCGAGTGAGTTGAACCCTCCAAGCAGTGGCTGTCCCTGAGGTGTCCATCGATGCAGGGCGGGAGGGTCAAGGCCTGTGACCTCAGAGGGAGGGAGAGCTGAAGAGAACATGTGTGTGTGTGGGGGGGGGGGTGTAATTGGCTTCCCACGGAGAGAAGGTCTCCTGTTATGAATGTGACACAATCCCCAGGAAGGTCCAAAGTGACCCTCCTGCTCCCCCCCTTTAAAGATAGTTTGGGTTTCTCCACAGGGGGCAGTGTCCGTGGACAGCCTGGCTGAACTGGAGGATGGGGCCCTGCTGCTGCAGACCCTGCAACTTTCCAAGATTTCCTTTCCGATTGGCCAGCGACTTCTGGGATCCAAAAGGAAAATGAGCCTCAATCCGATTGCTAAACAAATCCCCCAGGTTGTTGAGGCTTGCTGCAGCTTCATTGAGAAACATGGTAAGGGGGCTGAGAATGATGGTTTAATCAAGGTAGGAGGCAATTAAAGGGCAAGAATGGTGTTCTAGAAATGGGTAGAGAAAAGAGGACATAGGGTGAAGGGTGGGAACATTCCCCTGCCACCAGCTGGGGCTGGGATTCAGTTGGGGAGAGGGGAAATGCCATGGGGAAGGGGACCAGAGATACTTAGCATCTCTTGGTCTTTTCTTTCAGGCTTAAGCACAGTGGGAATTTTTACCCTGGAATACTCAGCAGAGAGAGTGCGTCAGGTAAACTGGCTCTGTTTACACCTATGTTCCTTGAGTGAGGAAAAACAGGTGGCGGTGTCTTCCCCATAGATCTGAGTGGAGTTTCATGCCTGGTGGGGGGATCAACGTCTTCTTTCTAGCCCCTCAGTCATGCCATATTGCCAGCCACCTCCACTGAAGCTTGAGACTTATGGAAGGAAATGCCAGGAGGGAGCATGTGATGGGCAAGGCAGAGGGTCCATGTCTTCTCTCCCTTTTTTCTAGCTCCGTGAAGAATTTGATCAAGGTCTGGATGTAGTGCTGGATGACAATCAGAATGTGCATGATGTGGCTGCACTCCTCAAGGAGTTTTTTCGGGACATGAAGGACTCTCTGCTGCCAGACGATCTGTACATGTCCTTCCTCCTGACAGCAAGTGAGTCTTGTGCTGTCCCTTGTCAGGCATGGAGGGGAAATAGTATGGTGGGGGGCGGTAGGTACAGAGGTCTGGCTGCAGGACCTCAGGGAACTAAAACAGAGTAAACATCAGAAGATGAAAACACCTATCCAGATTGCTTTCCCTAGATCTCTTAATAGTCCATTGTAAGTCTATTGTTGGGAGATTTCTCTAGAGCTTCTTGAAGCTGTGTGTGTCCTCCCAGGGCAAAGAGGAACCTAGGTTCTGTAGAAGGGATCTGCTTTTGATGGGAGCACTTCTTGCTTTCAGGGCTCCTGAGCTCAAATGCTTTGGGAATGAGCAAAGACAAGATGCCTGGGTACTTCCTCCATAGCTCTTCCTCAGTTTTCAAGCATAATCACATGTCTTTTGGTATCAGGCTGCTGTCAAGGCTAGCCCCCTGAGCCATCCACTGCTTTCCTTCTTCTAGCTCTGAAGCCACAGGATCAGCTTTCTGCCCTGCAGTTGCTGGTTTATCTGATGCCACCCTGCCACAGTGATACCTTGGAGCGTCTGCTGAAGGCCCTGCATAAGATCACTGAGAACTGCGAGGACTCCATTGGCATTGACGGACAGTTGGTAAAAACCTGTGGAGAATGGTAATGAGAGCTGTAGTAGGGGACATGTGTGGGAGTGTATGAGAGAGACACAGAGACAGACGGTAGGAGAAGGCAACAAGAACAAAAGGAGACATTCATATTTGTGTCATTTCCATTACTGCCTCAGAGTCGATCACTTTCTGCTTTCCTTGTTGTAGGTTTCAGGCAACCGTATGACTTCCACCAACTTGGCTCTGGTGTTTGGATCTGCTCTCCTGAAGAAGGGGAGATTTGCCAAGAGGGAGTCCAGGAAAACAAGACTGGGGATTGACCACTATGTTGCTTCTGTCAATGTGGTCCGTGCCATGATTGATAACTGGGATATCCTCTTCCAGGTAAAGGGAGCTTTTGGACAAACTTCCTTCAGAGCTTTCTCCTATTCACAAGGCAAGTGAGGGTCATACATGCATCCCTGACAGTAGCCAAAGCAGGCAGCCACTAAATCTTCCAGAAATTCCTCCTGCATTCAGTGGTCATGGTATCTTCAGTCCTGGGTACCTGATAGAGAGGAGTATAAATTTTAAAATGTTGTGTAATAAAGGCTAACATTGCTCACTTTACCCTCAGGTGCCTCCCCATATTCAGAAGCAGGTTGCTAAGCGTGTGTGGAAATCCAGTCCTGAAGCCCTGGATTTTATCAGACGCAGGAATTTGAGGAAGATACAGTGAGTGTTTTCTTGGTTTGTTTAAGCTTAGCCTGAAGCAGAATCTCCTATGGGGGCTTTCAATCCAAGACCACCGTCATGTTAGGCAAACCAAGTATGAAAACTGACTTGCTTTTTCAAATTCATTTCCACCCAGGAGTGCACGAATAAAGATGGAAGAGGATGCTTTACTTTCTGATCCAGTGGAAACTTCTGCTGAAGCCCGGGCTGCTGTCCTTGCTCAGAGCAAGCCCTTTGATGAAGGTCAGTTCCCTGCTGGAGGTCAGGCCCTTGCTGAAGGTCAGTCCCTTGGTGAAAGTCAGGCCCTTCCTGAAGGCCAGGTCCTTGCTGAAGATGAGCCCCTTGAGGAAGATGAGTCCTCTGAGGAAGATGTGTCAGGCCATGAAGAGCTAGTATTTGAGTATCTCCATCAAGGAGTAGTCTTTGGGGAAATTCAAGGTCTTGAGATCCCAAATGATCTTGAGATTCAAGGCCCACATCTTGAAGGCATACCAGAGCTTGATGAAGAAGAAGATGATGACAACGACGACAACGATGATGATGACAATGATGATACCCTGAATTTTGATGATCTTCCTCCCCTTGAAGATATTCTAGACCCTGATGATGAAATTCCCGAACTCATTGAAATCCCAGACTTTGAAGAAATACCATATTTTGATATGGTCCCAGACCCTGAAGGAGCCCCAGATGCGCAAGAAATCCCAAATCCTGGAGAAAACCCAAACCAGGACCTTGAAGAAGGGCCAGATTTTGAAGACAACCAAAATCTTGACCTTGCAGGAATTCCCTATCTCGATGTAATCCTGAACAATGAAGAAGCCTCAGATACCGATGAAATCTCAGACCATGCAGATGCTTCAGAACATGATGAAAACCCAGATTCTGAAGAAGATCCCAATCTTGAAGAGGTTCCGGCTCTTGATGAAATCCCAAATGATGTATCCTCAAATGCTGAAGCGATTCCAGGCCACGAAGATGCCCCAGAGGTCAATGGGATTTCAAGTTCTGATGAACACCTTGATTTTGAAGAAGTCCCAGCTCTTCATATGTTGCCAAGCCCTGAGGAAGCCCCTGGGGGTCATGAAATCCTTAATCATGAAGAATCCCCAGAGGTTAATGGACTCTCAGACCCTGAAGAAGATCCCAATCTTGAAGAGGTACCAGTTCTTGATGGAGTCCCAAATGATGAAGAAACCTCAGATACTGAAGAAATTCCAGATCAGGAAGAAACTCCAGAATTCAATGGAATTGCAGGCTCCGAGGAAGGCTCCAACCCTGAAGAGGTCCCAGCTCTCCACGTGGTAATGAGCCCTGGAGATGTCTCTGATTTTGATGACATTCAAGACCAGGAAGAATCTTCAGTTACTGAAGAAATCCCAAGACACGAAGAAGCCTCTGATGTCAGTGGAATCCGAGACTCTAAAGAAAACCCCCGTCTTGAAAAAGACTCAGTATTTAATGTGGTTCCAGAGCCTGGGGATGCTGAAATTCACAATGAAATTCCCAGTTCTCAGAAAGACCTAGCCAACACTTTTGAAGAGGATGAAGTTACCAATTTGGTTCCAGAGCCTGAAGATGTCTCCATTCTCAACACAATTCCAGACCCTCAGCCAGACCTTACTGTCAGTCTTGATGAAATCATGAATGTGGAGGCTGTCCCAATGCCTAATGATCTTGACTCTAGAGAAGTTTGGAGTCCAAAGGCAATAAAGTCCCACAAAGAAGATGCAGATGTTACATTTCTTGTAGATACCACCCTCCTTAAAAACAAGTCTCAGCCTGGCCAAGTCATGGACCACAAATCCTCCCCAGAGTCATTGATGACTGACACCTGCTTTCTCCCCTTCACGAAGTGCTGTAAGCTTCCGGCTCCAGCTTTGTTACTCATTTGCTTAGTAAAATTAGTCAGGTTGGTTGTAGGGTGGTGGTGGTTGTTAGGGGGCCGCCCTCTTCCCCGCCTGCCCGGTGGTATTGTCCATTTGCTGTAAGCACGGGTTATCTGTCTCACTCTTCCTGTTCTCTAACCCAGCCCTACCCCCACCACCTTCTACAGGGGGCCTAGATTTAGAGATATGTGTTCCACTGTTAGGATGCAGTTTTCTTAACATGTCAAATAGGGATAATCTTTCCTACTCTAACTTCTTGCTTCGTATTGTATTTGAAGTGCAAAATTAGGTCTTAGTCCCTTGCGTGCTGTGCAGAGTATGAAGTCTGGAAACATTAAGGAGTTAACACTGTTACTATTTTCCAGGTTCCTCTGAGGAGCCAGCTGTGCCTCCCGGCACTGCCCGTTCCCATGACGATGAGGAAGGAGCGGGTAACCCCCCCATTCCGGAGCAAGACCGCCCATTGCTCCGTGTGCCCCGGGAGAAGGAGGCCAAAACTGGCATCGGCTACTTCTTTCCTTAGATGTTTTTCCTTCTATAAGGTGCCGGACAGGGGAAAAGGGTGGGGGTAGACCTGGGATGTCACAGGAAACATTGAAGAAACGTTGAGGGTAAAGTTCTGAGGGTAAGAAGGATTTCCACCTGATGCTCGGGTCAGGCTGAGAATTCCAAACACACTGCCAGCCCCTTCTCTGGGGATGTTTGGTCTCTTCAGCTAGTACAAGCAGAGATGTTTCTGTGTCATGCCCAGGCTCCCTGGTGCTACCTTGCCTTTCTCTTTTACCCCTGATCCTGGCTTTCCCACACTACAGCCTGTCCTTTAATTGATGTGACATTTGTGGTAAACACCTTGTCCCAGAGAAGCTCACAAATCTCGAGGTGCTTTCCCTCCCCCCAAAAAAGGGAATTGCATGTTTTTCCTGACTTTCCTTCCCTCCTCCCAAGAGCTCAATTGCAAAGGCCCTCAAGAGGCATGCTAGGACGTCATGTCAGGACTGACAGCTGACAAACAACGCTAAACCATGTCACACCAACTCATAGCCGTGTCCCCGCAGCAACTCCACCACCTCAGGATTTTTTGCCCGCCCCAAATTATTTAGACCAATGGCTCATCAAATAGCCACCCCCAAAATTCTGTGCAGTTTTGCTCAGGTCACGCTAACAGGGAAACCTCAAATGTAAGCCTAACTAGCCTTCTGGGGTCAAAACTTAGAGGAAAAATTTGATTTTATTACCTAGATCTGTTTTACAGACAGCTGGAGTTCACCCCTGCTGTCAGCAAAACAGCTAGTTAGGTAGAGACACATAGTTCCAAGTAGTTCAAGTCACCTGATTCCAAACGTTCTTACCTATCGTCTCTGTAGCTCCTCTCTGCAGGACGGTACAAATTTGCGGGACATGCTCTGGTAACACGCAGATATGGGTTATGTATGACATCCAAAATTATAGCTGATATTGAGGGGTAACAACTGCTAAGGTCCATAGAATGAAGAATGTATTGTATTGAGGGATAGAAATTGATCACACAATGGGTAACAACCGCAGAGCTCGAAGATTTGTGATTGTTAAAACTTCTCTGGCATTTAATCATTAATAAACATCTGTGTTGTGACAGCAGCATATTCATGGCTTACTGTGTGTGTGTGTGTGTGTGTGTGTGTGTGTGTGTGTGTGTTTAATTTGAAAATTGGATTGGTGAGTTGGGAAGCTCTGACTAGAGCTGAAGGGGAAAGAGAAATAGGGAAGAGGGATAAAGGAGAGGGGATGACATGGAATAATGGGATGTGGGGGAATGGACTAAAGCAGGGGGTGTGTAGAATAAAGGGGAGGGGTGATGGGGAATAAAGGAGAGAGGTGACACAGAATAAAGGAGAGGGGGTAAGGAATAAAGAAGACAGATGATTGGGAATAAAGTGTTGCAGGTCAGAAGGACAAAAGGGGAGGGGTTATGGGGAATAAGGAGGAGATGATGGGGTATGAAGGGGAAGGGTGATGTGGGACAAGGGGGGGGTGATGTGAGATAAAGGGATGGAGGTAATGGGGACAAAATGGGGGTGATGGGGAATAAAAAGCAGAGGTGATGGAGAATAAAGAGGCGGAAGTGATGGAGCATAAAGGGGAAGGGTGGGCGACATGGAATAAAGGGGAAGGGGACATGGGATAAAGGGGAGGAGGGTGTGGAGTAAAATGGAAGAACGGGGAAGTGCTCTAGTTGAATAAAGAGAATGAAAGGGTTAAAATCGGATAAATGGTTGAGAAGGGATGAAAGAGAAACTGGAAAGAATGGAGCTTAAGAGGAGGGCCTCTAAAGGGAAAAGGAGGGGGATAAAGGGAGAGATCACTAGATGTTCTCAACTGAGAAATCCCCTTTGGATTGGTGAAAAATGAAAACCTGAAAACATCTGGAAATACATGATTTTCAGGGCAAGAGAAGAACATGTTGCTGTTTGATTGACAGGACCTCCAACCTTTCTTGAAAACTTAAGACTTCATGACATGCTTGGAAATTTCCCGTGTCAGGCACAGGGCCCCGGGAGAGTGAAACGTTGTGTATTATTTATTTTTGTACACTTTGCTTTAGGATATTTCCTCACATAGAGTTTTACAGAGAGCAGAAATGTAATAACATTGGGTCCCTCCCATAATAATTATCATAATTATTATAATAATCATTGACATATATTGAGTTATTCCAAAGTGTCTGACACTGGGTTTGAAGCTTTACATGCATCATTATTTAATATTCACAACTCTATGAAGTACATGCTACTGTAATCCTCGTTGTTTCCTGGAAAACAGTGAGATACAGAGAGGTCAAATAATATGCCCAAATTAAACACCTGGTTAGTGGAAAACAGCCAGTCTCCAAAGCTCGGGTGTTTCACCACTAGATTACCCTGGGCCATCCATTTTAGAATTCTTCCTCTGACAAGAAGATGCTTTGTGATGTCTTGGGGGAGTTATTTGAATGGGATTTGCACTTTTAACAAGCAAGGTTCACCCTCCTTCCTCATAGGTCCTTTCTCTCTAGATAGAATAAGCTACTAGACAACAACTGTGCTAGCTCATGCGGACCCTAGTATATGCATCTAGGGCCCATATGTATTAAAGCCAGTGGGAAATGTAAAGCTCATTTATTCCAACTCTGTTCTTATATAAATGGTCACACAAAAGGTTTATAATGGCAAACAGCTGACTTGAGGTCAGAGATCTGGATTAATATTCAGACAAACCTTCTGACTGCCATTCCAGAACTTTACAGGGCTAAAATAGTAAAATGTGTCCCCAGAAGAGTTTGCCTGTACTTTCCCCACTCAGCTTAAAAACCAACCAATAAACCAGATAATAAGCAGGAAAGTTGATTGTTTCAAAACATTCCTTTTACTTCCAGGCCTTCCCTGAAACCAGGTTTTTTCCCTGATCTTATTGTTTCCCTTGCATTCCTCCCCAGTGCTGACTGCTAACCAGAGGGTTTGAACTGAGAGTGACAAATGGATGTGGGCATTATCCCCACTCTTCCCCATACTCTAAGGGAGATCTCAAGAGACTTCCTTGACACTCCAAGTCCTGGTCTCATCCCAGGTGGCCTTGACAATATCCACACAGAAGACCCATCCTGCACAGCCTGGTCTCACCCTCACCACACTGTCCTTTAACTTCTTAGTGCTTTAACCAATCACTTGGCATCAGTGGGTATGACTGGATTTCTGAGGGGTCAAGTTCAATATCCCATTGTGTCTTGAATCTCCTAACAGTGGCTGGGTCCCACGCATCTGCTATTTGGCTGCATTGAGGTGCCTAGTGCCTCAAGCCTTTCCTTTCTTCTTTACTTCTTCCTTCATCCAGCCAGATGTCAGGGCATATCGATTTAGAACTGACCACCTCTTCAACCCTTTGCCCTCCAAATACCACACCTGCACTAGTTAGTCTTAGGTTTGAGGTCCTCTGAACATCTGATCTCTCCAGTCTCACAATAACCACTGTGAGAGACAGGAGTAGCACTCCACATATTGGTGCTTCTAAGAGTTAGAATTTCCAGGCTCAGCTGGTCCCTCAGTCCAGTCAGTAATGCTTCACGTGCCCCAGGTTGTCTTCTCTAAATCTCCACTCATTCATATTCCATTTCTACATCATTCCCCTCAAATAGCAGCCCTATTCACTTGAACTCATCTCAAATACATCCTCTCTTCTGCTTTATACTGGTTTACTTTCCTCTTTTCTAGTTTCTTTAGGTAGGAATTTAGATTATTGATTTTCTCTTTTCTGGTGTAAGCTTTCAGTACTTTGCGGTGTACCACAAGTTTGATATGTTGTATTTTCACTCTGTTTAGCATATTTTTTTTATTTTCCCTTGAGACTTTCTCATTGACCCACAGATTATTTAGATGGTTAGTTTCATTTTCAAGTGTTTTGAAAGTTTTCTGTTATCTTTCTGCTATTGATTCATAGTACTGTTTGGCTCACCTGATGTAGGTGGGACTTCCATTTGATCTAGAGGAAGGATGAGCCTTCCTGGCCCACATTCTATTGCTAAAATGAAGCTGGTGTTCAGGAAATGGCAGGCCGGGGTCACCTTTTTCTGTTGGATGAGAGGTCATAAGATGTCCTCATACTGTGCTGTTTCTCCAGTCCTGGGATCCCAAACCAGTACACCTTCCTCTGTCATCTTTCAGAATTCTCTTTTGGTTTGCTCTGAAGTTATTTCCAGGCTTTATAGTAGGTATTTCCAGGCTTTATAGTAAGTTGTATTTAGTAGGGAGGAGACTGGGGGAAAAAGGTCCATATGATCTCGTCCTGAGCATTAGTCTACTGGATATATTAAAAAAAACGTATTTAGATATAATTTCCATATCATACAACCTATAAAGTGTATAATTCAATATTTTTAGTATATTCAGAGTTGTGCAACCGTTGCCATAATCTAATTGAATCCTATTTTCACTACTCCAAAAAGTAACCACATACCAATTAACAATCAATCTCTATCTCCCCCTTGCCCAAGCCTAGGCAACCACTAAACTACTTTCTATCTCTGCAGACTTCTCTGTTCTGGGTATTTCATGTAAATGGAATCATACAATATGTGATATGTTGTGATCGGCTTCTTTCATGTAGCATATCATTTTCAAGCTTCATCCATATAAGAGCATGCATCAGTACTTAATTCCTTTTTAATACCAAATAATATTTTATCATATGGATGTACCATATTTACTTTGCACGTACCTACTAAACAATGATGTTGAGCATTTTTCATACACCTCCTCCCCCATCCTTTGGTCACGTATCTGTCCAAATATTCTGCCTACTTTTAACTGGTATTTTTGACTGTGAGTTGAAAGTTCTTTATACATTCTGGATTTTTTTTCCCAGTCTGTGATTTGTCTTTCATTCTCTTAACAGAATCTTTTCAAGAGCAGAAGCTTTTGATTTTAAGAAAGTTCAGATTATCATGTTAAAACATTTTAGGATCTTACTTTTGGTGTCATTGGTAAAAATTTTTGCCTATTCCCAAATCACTAAGCATTTCTCACAAAGTCTACACTGCAGCGAGGAGATGAAGAGCCTAGGGTTCAAAATTTAAGGAGGATCTCACCTGCAAAGTTGTGCAAGTCCCCGAGAGTGAGGAGATCCTTCAATTTTGCACACTAGGTCCCCCTCTCACTTCATTTTACTGTTTTCTGTTATGTTTATTCCAAGAAGTTTTATAATCTTATTTATCTAGTCATCAGTTGAAGGTGAAATGGATTGTTTCCCCTTTTTCTTATCATAAATAATGCTGCTATGAAATTTATGTTCAAGTTTTTGTGTGAAGATATGTTTTCATTTCTCTTAGGTATATATCTATGAATGGAATTTTTGGGTCATATGGCAATTCAATTTTTAACATTTTTGAGAAACTGTCAAACATTTTTTTAAAGTGAGTGCACCATTTTACATTCCTACCAGTGATGCGTGAGATTTTCAATTTCTTTATGTCCTTGCTAGCCATTTTTATTATGTCTTTTTGATTACGGCCCTCCTAGTGGTGTGAATTGTTTCTCATTGAGGTTTTGATTTACATTTCTCTGAAGTCTAGTAACGTGAATCAATGTAATACAAATATAAAAATTATATTTTTAGTTTTACTTTTTCTGCCTACAATTTATTTTGAGTTGATTTTGTATATAGTGTGAGGTATGGATTGAACTTCAATTTTTTTCTTCCACAATATCCACTTTATTGAAAAGACTATAATTTCTCCATTTAATTGTCTTTACAACTTGGTCAAAAATTGATTGATCATTCATTTTGTGTATATTTCTGCATTTTTCTCTGATGGCTCTATTTGTGTACTTTTATGTCAGTACCCTCTCTCTTGATTGCTGTAGATTTATAATAAATCTTTAAATTTAGGAACGTAAGCTGCTAATTTTTCCCCATCTTTATTAAAGATATAATATTATGTAGATTTAAGGTATGCAATGTGATAATTATATATATATATATATATATATATATATATAGTATGCAAAGTGTTTACTGAAAAAAATTAGTTAACATATACTTTACCTCAAACACCTGGTGGTGGGGGGTGATGAGAACATTAAAGCACTACTGTCATAGTAGCGTTCAAATAT